CCCCCCAAAACCCCAAAACCCCAAAACCCCTTAAGGTAGAATTACATTATTTAAAGTGCTATTGAACTTGCTAATCAAAAACAGAAATTAATATACTTATACTGGTTATTCTGGGATCTCTCTCTTAACTCTCTTAGTTTTTATTGCTTTTCTTAATCCCAAAACTTGCTATACTTCCTATCAGTTTCATTCTTTAGCCACTCTATCTTCCTCTTATATCTTTCCTATGAGTTTAAGAATTTTTTACTTATCAAATTCTCCATATTGTCCTTTTCTTATTCTTTGATAGTTTAGATCTTTTAAAGCTAATCATTCTCAACTTTAGTTCTTTTCTCTTCAGATTTTCTAAGGATCATTGATCTTAGATGCTCCCTGCCATTTACAATATCAATATATCTTTCCTAGAGCCTTTTTTCCCTTTCAACAGTAATTGTTTGGACTTTGTCAATAAGGTCTCTATTATTTGATTTGTTCAAAGTATTTTAGAGTTCAAGTAAGGAAACTGATCTCTGCTTAAGCGGGTACTAACCCTGTATGAACCTCTTCTAAGGTCTTTGATTTTACTTTAAGGCTTTTTAAATAAACTTCTCAGAATACTTTGTAAGATAATTCTATGACTAAGTATGATTTGAAAACAATGAGTTTCCTGCTTGGTTGTTATTATTACCTCCTACTACTCCATTTCTTGGACTTTAGCCTTAACTTTACTTACTATCATTAATATTACTAATTGACCCATTTGATCGAGAATGGTTGATTGAATCTTCAATCGCCATTTTCATCTGCTAGGTAGCACCTGCTGCTCTTTAGGTTAAACTTTTTAATTCGTTGTCAAGCTCTTCTTTGATAAACATGCCTGAATCTTATCTTTACTAGAGTTGATCAATTATTCTTTGCTGCAGTATTTTAGACATTTTAACCTTTGGTTTTTTAACCTTTATCTCTACTATGCTATCAATTTTAGGCATTTCTTTGATTAAATCATTATACATTATCCCAGATTCATTCATTTGCAGTCTAGCTGACTGCATGTTGTAATTCTTCATTGATGTATTAGTCTGAAATCCACCAAAATTTCTCTGCGTTTGAGACATAAAAGAGGGAAGCTTGAAATTATTTTGGACATTATTCACATCTTTTTTTCTTTGAATCTCCTCTAGATATAAAGTCTTCCGCATTTCTTGTCCCTTGTCAGTGATCACGACTCTCATTATTATTACTCAAGTTTTTAGGATAAAAAAGTTAATATTTATTTATTTCGTCAATTATATTATATTAACTTACGGTTATGACTATTTGACTTACGGGGTTTTGGGGTTTTGGGG